TTAAGCCTATATAATATGTTGCGTGCACTTAATGACGTGCCATAATATTATTAGGCTTTATTCCCCATTGTTTTAAGTCGCCTAATCATCTACACCATGCACGCTGGCCCGCACGTGTGAAATTTTTCTCACCTGAAAGAGCAAATTGAGTAATTAATTTTAAGGGCATTCACTGCATACCGCCCGAATTCTCATATATTTACATATCTAACGACTAAACATCATATATGTGCATACCACTCAAACCATTAATGTCACATTAAAATTACAATCAACGTATTTTTTTTTTTTGAAGTGAAATATATTTATTTCATGTATAGTTTTATGACATCAATATATGATAAATGTAAATATCAAACTTTTAGGGTTTAGATATGTAAATACATTAAGGCTTTTGTGATATATATGTAAATTTACCTGATTATTATATAGATGATGATTAGATTTAGGAAATTTACATGCTTATTGCTTCATCTCTATGTATTTACGTATGTAAGACGTAAACTTGAATTTTCACATATATATGTCACATTGTTTATACATGAAAATTATTGATTTCTTTTTTTATTTAAAAATGATAGTACATTTGATGTGCTAGGAGAGATTTGAGTAATTTAAAGGTAAAAAAGTAAAATTTAAGTGGTAGATTTATAAATATATATGAACTCGGTGCTATGTGTTGTGAAAAAACGTCGGCAATAAAGCAAAAAATCAGATCGAGAGAAATCGCAAAACAAAAAACACAGTAAAAACACACATATTTACGTGGTTCGACAAATTGCCTACGTCCACAGAGCTTCAGAGCTTCAGTGCTTCAGAGCATTTTGTTAGCTTGAGGAATAACACCCGTCGATCACATCGACGATTACAATAAAACACTTTTTTTCTCTCCTCTCCTCTTCTTCTCTCTCTCTCTACCCGAGACCTTCAAATCGAAGCACGCCAGAAGAAGAACCTGGAAAGCTACCAATGCCAAAGAGGAAGTCCGGGAAACCAAATCTTGAGAGATTACAAGGGGAGCTAGCATGCATATTTATTAATTTCATCATTGATGCGTGCTAGAAAATTCGCGGCGGTAGAGTAATGGATTATCGTCTTAGCGTTGCACGAGAAATCAGCACACACTCAGATAAAAATGAATCGAGCTGTGATCACACTAGAAGTTTTTACGTGGAAAACCCGTAAAAGAGAAAAACCACGGGGCCTGACCCAGTTGTAGAAATCCACTATAAGTTTATGATTACAGATGCCCCTTGTCCCACATGCGGGAAATGGTTACTAGCTTTTCACGTTACAACGTCGACTGATGACGTCTAGTAAGCGGTGGTTGACGGAGGTCTGCAGTGGCTAACAACAGTCGATGATGGTCGGCGGTAGTTGACAAAGGTCAGCGGTGATCGACTGCGTTCAACGGTGGCCGGCGGTGGTCGACAGAGGTCGGCAGTTGTTATCGACGATCAGTGGTGGTTGACGGCGATCGACGATGGCGAGGATGATCTTGAACTTGAGCTCCTTCTCAAAACCTCAAGTTCTCTCTTAAGCCTCCTTCCTTCTCATGTGAGGGGTGAGGCTCTATTTATAGTGTTTAGAGTGCAATTAATGCAGGAATATGAATCATTTTGATCGGACGGCCCGGAGAGCTTCCCTGGATCATATGACGTTTGATGGACATTTGAGTGCCTTAACGATATTGGAATTGAGCAACCTTGGGCTCGTTGGATTCGTCTTTTCGAGACGCTCGATTCGGCTATAAAATCGATAGATTCGACATCCTTTTGACCTTTCAAATGCCTCCAGAAATCGTCTAGTAGTGGTTTAATGACTTGATCTGGGCTTGATTTGACTCGGATTGGACTAACTTTTATATCATTATGTCCGTTTCATCGAGCCGATCAGTTTTGACTATAAGTTTGCTGAAATCGGAGTTCCGGATGACTCGTAATCGAAGTTTGAATGTTAGTGCTCAAAATATTGCATCAAGATTCGTGTCATGCATCGAGATTCGTGCTGAATTATGATAATTTGTTTGTGGCGTATCAATCATGTATTTAAACCCATTAAGAAATTAATCAAATAAGTAATGAAACCCATTAATTATTTCATTTTCTCTTCTACAACAAATCATAGAAAGAATTAAGAAGAATTAATTTAGCAATTAATTTTGAGTATCAAATTCAATTTGCTGCCAAATATGAGAAAATGTCAATTCGAGCAGTGGACCGATTTCCTGGAAATGTTCCTTAAATTTAAAATATTGATAATATCTCTCTAAACCCAAATGATTTGCATTTGAACAGAATTTATTCATTATTAATATGTCTTTCGTTTTCCACCCCTTCCAGTCTCAATCTACTGTGAGGACCAAGCAGTTTTTGGTAGCCTTAATTAGGGCTGTCTGAATAGCTCGTTTTTCACGAGGAGCTGGAGTTTCGTTCGTTAAGAGCTTGTGTTCGATTCGTTCTCTAAGAAAATGAGCCGAATAAGAATGATTTTATTTTTTTGCTCGATATATAAACGAGCCAACACTAACAAAATTTTGTTTGTTCATGTTCGACTCGTTTTGACTCATAAAAGTTAAATTATATATAATTGACGAGTATTATCATTTACGTAATTTAATCAACTATATGACTACAAAGATTTATAATTAATTAAAATAATTAATTAATAAATAGAATAAATATATTTTAAATTCAATTTAAATGAATATCTTAATATAAATAATATTATTTAAATATTTCCCCTACCTTTAAACATCCAGCGGCTGTGTGACTATGACTCGAACATGAGCAGTAATATATTTTAAAGAGCAGACCATGAACTGAGCCCGAGCTTGCCCGAGCTCGGCTCATTTACACCACAAGCCTTAATGGGATAAAACTAAGTAATAATATTCAAGTTAAATTCTTATATATATATA